CACACAAAAAATGGAAATGCTCACTCTTCTATTTTTTTTTTTTTGAATGCCCACTCCAAGGGAGAGTCTTATCTAGGACTCATGACTTATGAGTTAAAAATGTGTTTTCTCTGAGAACTCTCATGCGAGACAATGTTCATATCAATCGTTGCTTTTGATAACAGCAATTTTTTTTTTTTAATATCTATGGCAGAGCTGCCAAAACAGACACCTCCAATTTCATCACGGACTCTTGATTAGCTCATTGAGAATTCTTAGCCTATGGTTTTGTATATTTTTGCGATATTGCATTTACGATCATTTTTTTTCATGATGCCTAAAAGCTTTTTTTTTCCCATAAGGACTCAAGTGGTGCCAGTGTGCCAAATTCTTGGCGATGTAACCTGCATAACAGACAGCTGTGATGTCATCAATATCCCCTCAGATTGCTGAGGAGAAATCAATTAAGTTCCCTGAATGACCGATCAAAGTATACATATAGCATTATGTGCAATTTCAAATCACGGTCTGGGGCTGCACGCACTGTCAAATAAAGACAAAACATTGTTGCTTGAAAAAGTGTAACACGGGAAAGCAAGAACGGCTGTCCCTTTTATTGCCGGCAACATTTTCAAATGCATTCTCACGGTCCCTGTGGGAACTGTAACAGCACTTGCGTGTTCCTCAGTGTGATGACCACACAATGCAAAAGGTGCAGTGTTATTTCGACTTTTGTTTCTCCCACTGTTCTGGCGTTAGGGTCTTCTGTTCGAACGCATGGATGTCTTTCAGCTCCTCCGCTAAGCAGGTGTTCACCATCCTAAAAATGCCACACCCTTTGATCATGTTATATGTCATATCAAAAGCATTGCCATTCTGGAATTTGATTTCAGTGTCCACTGCGTACCTGTGTCTCTGTAAGAGGGGCTTGCCCTCAAACTGGGAAGAGACCACAAGCACTTTGAAGCTGGCGGCACATCTGTTGGCGGACGTGTCCTCCACGTCCTACACAACACAAATGACGGAGCATACTAATATTGACTGCAAATGTTCCAAAGTGAACGAGTGTAAGACACCTACCACATATTCCGCCGCAAGCTCTGTTCTAAGTTTATCCCGGATGTGATCGGATGTTAAGGCCATGCCTGCAACAGCAGAAAACAGGTGATGGTTTATGTGTTTTCACCAAGACTACCTTGTGCATAAATGTGATAATCGAAGGCGTGTCTCGTAAATTAAACTGCAACCGAAAGTAACGTTAGTTTAAATCCAAATTTAAGGCTGCCATCGTCATATCAAACACAAAGTCACAACATTAAGAGGATCAAATGTATTCCGCACTACAACAAATCAAAAATACAGTACATACTTGAAACATTGTAGATCGACTTCCTGCTATTTTCAGTTTCACTAACAGTGGTCCTGCGAAAGATCCAATCACATTGCACGGTCATAAGCAGAGCCAATCAGATGCTCTGGAAAAATCCGGCGAGCGTTACTCGGCGCGAGTCCTTGAACGCCTGACTTGAAACATTCCTTTCTCTCGTGGAGAAAAAAAACATCCAACATTTTTCTTTTAGACATATGCCATATACAAAACAAACATAATATAAGATTACATATAGATTAGTTTATGTTCGCATCATAGTAAAGGAAGTTTTTTGTTAGGAACAGGCAATATTTCTTGACTACTAACACGTTTTTAAAAATCTTGAGGTGAGGCAGCGATATCTAAAAATGCTTTTCATTTATTTCACGTGTTTATTTGGGTAAAATCAAATGTATAAATGTATGTACTAAACGCTGGAAATGTTTTTTTTTTGCTTACGAGCTGAGGGGTTGATTTATTTCAGTTTCGAAACATGAGGTCCTTTGAAAGATCCAATCAAAGACGGGGATCGCATTAACAGCCAATCAAATCCTCTGTAAAATCGCGAGCGTGTGGTGGTCGATTTTCAAAGTAGCAAATTGTTCAGTGCCTGAATGAAAGTACTTCTTCTCAAATAAGTAAAAATATGTATTCTTTTCATTTGAGAGTCATAATACATATAGATATATCATTTTAGTTATGTATTTCAACTTTTTCCTTGACAACACAACAGCGAGGAAGATTTTTATGCCATTCAAAACAGGCAATAGACTTTGACTCCTCAAGAGTACTTGTGAATCGGACCAAATATTTGAACGGTCGACGATGGAATATTGTCAGCGTTTCATTTGAAAATATCAAAACAAGACGAATGTTTCTTCGTGACATTGAGACAAATTGAGCCGTGTTTCGTGTTTTGTGTTAGCCCGTCCAATGGCGCAGGAGGTGGAGAACTTCTTTGGCGTATACATGCTGTACTGCCTCAACCCCAAGTTTAAAGGGCGAATCTACATCGGCTTCACGGTGGATCCTGAACGCAGGCTGAGGCAACATAATGCCGGGCGCCACAAAGGAGGGGCCAAGAGAACCAGCGGCAGAGGACCATGGTACGCAATTGCACAACTCTCGACTTCGACCTCGACCTCGACCCTCGTTGCCTTTCACGAGTATGTTCCGCACATGAACACGTCGCTTCTGTTGCAGGGAGATGGTCCTCATCATACATGGCTTCCCCTCTGACATCGCTGCCTTGACAGTAAGTGAACACGGGAGTCGGGGAGTCAGTTTGGTCAATTTTCCCTCTTTCTTTCGTCAAATAATACATCCGAAAATAAAATGAATGTCATGAAATCAATGAACCAATTGTGTAATGCATTCTAATTGTTCATGCATCATTCTTAACGTAGTGTTTTGTTCAAATGCTAATTTATCTT